CTCAGACCCTTGGCCCAGAGAAAGGGTCCCCCCTATCCCCCGGCTTGCTGGATGAAAACACTAAATGAGAGGCTAGAGGTTCATCATTTTCATGGAAGAACGGAGATTCTGGAGGGTTGGGAGACTGTGAATGAAAAGTGGCTTATAAAAGAGAGGACCTGTGACTGCCCCCACAGACACACCTGGGCGTGGCCGGGCAGCCTTTGTGCCCGGGAACAATAAGGATACATTCAGACACTGGCGCCTGGTGCATTTCCTGTCCTTGCCAGCACAGGTCAAGGTTAATGTCTCTACTGTTTTCTCTCTCCTGCACTTGCCACGCAGGTTTTGAAAAACCCCTCCTTATGTTCACCTTTTGCACCCTTTTACCTACTCTGTCCCTTGTGGGTGGTATGTTTTCTTCTCTTTCTTTCTTGTAAGGCCGTCTTCCCAAAGGCATTGGTGTTCAGAGGGGCAGGCGGATCCTTCCCTTTGGGAGAGGAAAGGCGGGGTGGGGGGAGGTTCTCTTGTAAAGGGGTAAAAATTTGGAAGTTTTCCAGCTCTAGGGACTTCCTCCAGTTATGACACTAAAAGAAACCAGTGTTCTCCACTCTGGGCTGAGCTTGTGACTTCTCTGCCTTTCTCCCAGCTTCCGGACTTCTCCACCCAGACGCTGCGTAGTTGTCATTTCAGAGGCCTTTTCCCTCCCCACCTTGCTCACTCCTCCCCAGCCTGTGCTGGAAGGTAAGGCCCGCGATGGTGGAGGTGTGGCACCCACTGTCCCCATGCTTGTGTGAGAGCCTGGCACACAGCAGCAGCTCAGGAAATAATTTGCTCAGAGAGCAGCCCTTGGTCTGTGGCCATGAGGTGCGCAAGTGCTAGGTCAGTTGACTTCACATAAGAGAGGAGATCTTAAAAGTTCTCCTCACCCCCCAAAAAATTATAATTATGTGAGGTGATTGATGAGCTCTGTTAACTTGTGGTGGTTGTGTCGCAGTATATATGTATGTCAGATCCCTTTGCAGTGCACCTAAAACAAAGTGTTATATGTCAGTTGTATCTCAATATTAAAAAAAAAAAATCAGGGTCCTAGCCTTTTAGGTATTAGCTGCTTCTGTGGGATCTATGTTCCGTTGATCCTTTAATAACAGGGTGTTTCGCCTTGAAAGGATCTTGGAGGTCCTTGGGGCCCCCTCCTTTCTGTTAACTGCTCCTTATGGTTTCCTTGAGTTTTAATCTCTGAGAAGGAAGGATGGTTGTCACACAAGCATGTCTCGGTTATGCCTGTGTGAGCGATCCAAGGGAGGTTTCTCTTTCCAGATCAGCTAGCTCCTTTGACTTCCTCAAGCTTCTGGGAATGCTGACGTGAGGAGGCCTAGGAGTGATGGGTGCTTAGCTAAGCATCTGCAGTTGAAGAACTCCCTGGGGGCGCCCGGCTGGCTCAGTCTGTAGAGTGGTCGGCTATTGATCCTGGGGTTGTGAGTTGGGAGCCCTGGGCTGGGTGCAGAAATTGCTTAAAAATAAATTCTTAAAGAAAAAAAAAAAAAGGAACTCACTAAATTGACTTGACCCTGCCTCTTTGCTCTTAATCATTCTCTTTGTCTCTTCTCCTTTTCATTCTTCGGCTTCTCCTATCTTTTAACTTAGGCAGTAAGCCCCTATGGTGGGCATATGCTGCAGTATTGGTACCGTTAGCTATTTTGTTCATTTTAAAAATTAACTGGTTTATTTTAGAGAGAGAGTAGGGTGCGGGGGAGGAGCAGAGGGAGAGACTACCGCAGGCAGGCTCCATGCTAAGCGACATGGGGCTTGAGCTCATGACCCTGAGATCCTGACCTGAGCCGTAATCAGGAGTCGGATGCTTAACTGACTGAGCCACCCAGGCGCCCCTCTTTACTTTGGGAGTACTCCCCCACGAGATTTTAGTTATTTGACAGAGAAGGAACACAAGCAGGGGGAGTGGGAGAGGAAGAAGCAGGCTTCCGGCTGAGGAGAGAGCCCGATGTGGGGCTCGATCCCAAGACCCTGGGATCATGACCTGAGCCAAAGGCAGACGCCTAATGACTGAGCCACCCAGGCATGCGCCCCCCTCCTCCCATGGTGGGGGGAGTACTTTAAAATTTTTTAATTAATTGTTTATTTATTTATTTATTTTTAAAATTTAAAAAAAAAAAAAAGATACTTATTTGACAAAGAGACCATGACAGAGGGACTTCAAGCAGGGGGAGTGGGAAAGGGAGAAGCAGGTTTGCTGCCAAGCAGGGAGCCTAATGTGGGACTCGACTCCAGGACCTTGGGATCATGACCTGAGCTAGAGGCAGCGGCTTAACCGACTGACCACCCAGGTGCCTCTGGGTACATTTTTTAAGGTGGGCCTTTGATTGCCTTGATTCCTAAGTGGAACCATCTTGCTCCATAGGTCACACTGTTGAGAGCAGCAGCAGGTCTTTGCAAAATTGCCATGTTAGGCCAGGAAGCACTTTAGAGATCAAGATGGTTCACACTGCTGGTCCCTTTTATTTGCTAGGGCACGTAAGCTGAGGGGGGGCCATTGAGCTGAGGGCACGGGCCATTGAGCTGAGGGCACGGGATTAGTGTGCGACAGACTCTGGGTCAGAGCCCTGGCCGTGAACATCTCATATTTGTGAAGTGGAGACCTCTTACTGGCCACTTCTTAGTATTTGCTGGGGAGAGCCTTGGGCAATCTACTGAAAAAGGAACGTGGGAACAAAGCCTCATTATCTTTTTCAGCTGTGGCCTATGACCAGTGAATTGTGGATCGGAAAGAGCCGGGCAGTCAGAGAGGTGCAATGTATGTTTTGAATTTCCTTAGAAATAGTCACTGAAGCTTCTGAAAAGTTACTTTAATCTACAGCTTTTTTTTTCCTTCCCCTTTCCTAACCAGTGACACCAAAAATAGGATTGCTTTGGGGTTTCTGTGTTGGCAGACAGAATGCTCCCCAAGGGACTTTGAGGCCCCCTCCTCCTGGGGAACGAGGATGCTCTGTTTCTCCAGCAGTACCAACACTGACCCATCTGACTTCAGGGCGCTGCTAAACTTGGGAAGTTACTGACCTACTTTATAGTCCGCGTACCCCTATGTTCAGGCTTGGAATTAAAAAAAACTTGACACCTGAATGGATCAAGAGCCTTTTTATGTTATTTTTTTGTTTTATTCTGTTTTGTTTTTGCAGAGTTTATTTATTATTTTAGAGAGAGAGCGCGCGCGTGCGCGAGCACATGTGCATGCACGTGCAGGGGGAGGGGCAGAGGGAGAGGGACATGCAGACTTGCTCTAAGTGAGAAGCTCCATTCACAGCCCTGAGATCATGACTTGAGGTGAAATCAGGAGTTGGACACCTGACTGATGGAGCCACCCAGGCGCTCCTGGAGCCCTTTTACGTTTTTTTTTTTTTTTTAAGATTTTATCCCTTTTACGTTCTTTATTAAAGTGTTCCTGCCAGTACTTTGGTTGCCACTCCCTGTGGCTTCGTAGCACTAGCTCCCCATGAGGAGATGGCAACAGAGACCAGCTTGGGTCGCCTCTGGTAAAAAGGTAGACACCTTTTCAGAAGTTTTGTAGTGGAGGATATATCAGTCCATGTTTAGTTGCTCTTCTCTTTCTGACTTGAAGCTAGTTAGGACCCTTCATCCTTTGAGTTGCTACTCAGGGTTGAATGTGATCATGTAGCCTTTGACTCAGGCAGGGACAGTGGGAACCTGTTTGTGTTAGTGGAAACAACACAGAGGACCCGATTAAAATTGAGTTTGGTCTGTTAACTAGTTGGGTCGTCCCCAGATGAGCGTGTCACACAACCCCCCGCCCCAAGAGGTCTCAGGAACCAGAGTTTCTGAGGGTTGGTAGGCTTTGGGAGGGAGTCTCGCCACCACGGAACAGCTGAGTTTCTGCTGGCAGGTGAATTTACTTAGAACTTGATCTCCTTTGGAAACTGGAATAATGTCTACTTGGTTAGGTTGTTGGGAGAGTGAAATGCAACACAAGGCAGGCGTCTTGGATAGTTGGCCTCACGGGGTCCCCGCACACTGAGGTTTGGGCGTCTGTGACTACATATTTTTTTTTTTTTTTTAAAGATTTTATTTATTTGACAGAGATCACAAGTAGGCAGAGAGGCAGGCAGAGAGTGAGGGGGAAGCAGGCTCCCTGCTGAGCAGAGATTCCCCATTCGGGGCTTGATCCCAGGACTCTGGGATCATGACCCCAGCCAAAGGCAGAGACTTTAACCCACTGAGCCACCCAGGCACCCCCCTGTGACTGCATATTATAGAAGGACGTTGCATACTGTCCTGCGCTGGTTGAGCTCTTTAGACAGTAAACCATTGGGGAATCCTTCAGTGGTAAGAGGGTACAACTATGTCGTTGCATCCACAGTGTGGAAGGTCAGAGCTGGGGTGAGACTGGAGGGGTTGGGAGTGGTAAGAGTGGGTGGGCAGGGGAGATAATGGCTACTTGTATCTTGAAATGAGGATTTGTTCGGAAGGTAAGTTACCCTCTGGTAGTTGTGTCTTGAGTGGGTCATTGGTGAGTGCCAGCTAACATCACTAACTACTGTACTTTTTGCTTGTAAATATGGTGAAGCTATAAAGACCATAAGGTTCATAGAACATGTTAAAGGGAAGCTTTTGGTGTGTGTCTGTGGATACTGTTTAAAATGGAAATGACCAGTCTTGCACGTATTCCTAGAGAATGGTGTTTGTGCAGAAGGGAAATTTAAAAAGGACAGCTTTACAAAATAATATATTAAGTGTTCCTTTTAGCTACTGATAGATTAGTTTTATTCCATATAGCCCTCAGGAAGACTTGGTCTGAAGGAATGAAAGACATGTTTGGTGGATGACACCGGCATCTGACAGTGAGAGTGCGTGTGTATGCCTCTGTGCCCGTGTGTATATTTCAAGGTGAAGTGCTCCAGAGTTCTTGGGTGGAATGCGAAAAGAATCCTGGCTTATCTGCACTTTTCTTTGTGCTTGTTCATGTGTAGCATGGTTGGTTTTCCTTCTAGGATGTGGAGAAAGAGAAGGAAACCCACAATTACCTCAGCAAAGAGGAAATCAAAGAGAAAGTCCATAAATACAACCTGGCTGTCACAGACAAGTTGAAGATGACCTTGGTAAGCACCCGCACCTGTCAAAAGACAGATACAAACTGTTGGTCTTACCATCCATGTGTCTTAAAGTCTCTCAGTAGCGCTTGAAGACGTTAAATGGTCAGGGTACGCCAGACCATGAAGTGGAGTACTTCTGCAGCTTTCAGATTAAAGTTATATTTTGAAGTAGCTTTATCGCACCCATCAGTTAATACTTTAAAGTTTCATGACCCAGGGCGCCTGGGTGGCTCAGTGGGTTAAGCCTCTGCCTTTGGCTCGGTTCGTGATCCCAGGGTCCTGGGATGGAGTTCTACATCAGGCTCTCTGCTCAGCGGGGAGTCTGCTTCCCCCTTTCTCTCCCTGCCCCTCTGCCTACTTGGGATCTCTCTCTCTGTCAAATAAATAAATAAAATCTTTAAAAAAAAAAAAAAAAAGTTTTGTGACCCCAGAAAGATTTTTTAGCATCGAGGATTGCCATCACCTCTTTAACATACAGGTGGTACCTCAAATTCTGGTAAGGCTTACATCCGTTTTCTCTTGTGCAAGTAAGTCGGGAAGTGTTGGGAAAAGGATTTCATGCCCGTGGGTTAGAATAGCATTGAGCCAGGATTCCTCCCGGCTGGTTGCCTCCGACGGTGGGCGGATGTAGTATTCAGCCTCCTCCTGCACGTTGTTTGAGGCTCCTGCTCTGTGGAACCGAACACTGAACTCAGTGGAGAGCTGGTGGAGGCGGGAGAAGGCATGGTGCATAGTGACAGGGGGAGAAGAGCCAGAGCAAAGCCAGAGTATTCATGTGCCTCGGACGGGACTGGCGTCTCTGCTTGTCCTCACGTTTGGTGACTTTCCTCGAGGCACCTGCCATCCTGTGGTGTCCATTTCCAGGGCCCTTGGACTTCTGCCTCTCGGGCTCTTGGCTGTGAACTGACAGTTCAGCCAAGGACAGAGTGACTGGCTTAAAGCAGGCCCTGCTGAAGTCTGTGACCTTTGGGGAGGAGCGCTACACGTAAACCCATGTGATAAAGGATTCCTCCCCAGTGGGACCCGTTGAAGAGGGGGAAGCCGGACACAGGCTCTCGACTTTCTTCATTACTCCCAACAGTGATGCTTGTCTGTTTTCAAATGCGCTTTTCATCAAAGGAGAAATACTGCACTCACCATCGGCTCTTCTTCCTTCCCCCATGGAGATGACATTGCAAAAATAGAAATTTGAAGTCTTGTGGAATACTTTGTACAAGAATGAATAATCGAATTAGTATGGTAAATTGATCTTGTGGAAAGGAAGAAAAATAGTGGACCAAAAAGGGGGTTTTTTAAAATGTTGTAACTGTCTCATTTCTTTTTTTTTTTTTAATTTTTGAAGATTTTTATTTATTTGATAGAGACATAGCAAGAGAGGGAACACAAGCAGGGTGAGTGGGAGAGGTAGAAGCAGGCTTCCTGCTGAGCAGGGAGCCGGATTCTGGGCTTGATTCCAGGACCTTGGGATCATGACCTGAGGTGAAGGCCGATGCTCAACGACTGAGCCACCCAGGCGCCCCTAACTGTCTCATTTCTATGTAACACCTGAGGTTTTGTTTTAATAAAACACTAAAATACGTTTTTTCCTGGATGTAAAAAGAAAAAGTGAAGAGCAGACGATTATTACTGTTTTTGATAACTAAGAAGTAGTAAGTCTACCATCAGCGAAGACAAGTGTTGAACTCATCAAGTTGTGTATTTTAAATATGTGCAGGGTTTTTTTTTCCATGAAAAGCATATCTCAATAAAATGGGTAAAAAATAGTATATAGAAGGAGATATAAATACCATGTTAAGACAAAAAAGACAAGTGCTTATAATATCTGTAGTTTGCATTGTAGCTGCTCGAGGCCACCAAGATGCATCGTCACGCGCCCCATACCCTGCGCGGTGTGGGGTATGCTGTGTCCAATCATTTTGGCGAAATTGATCATCTAGGACACAGGGTGATAGGCACTAGGAATGAGGTAGCTTGTTTGGGTTCTGTTCCCTCGGTTTTGGGTGTTTCCAAGTGACACAGAGAACCTCCCTCCTTCCTTCCCTCCCTCCCTCCCTCCCTCTTTCTTTCCTTCCTTCCTTGATTTTATTTATTTGAGAGGGAGCACACATGTGCATGCGTTGGGGAGGGGAGCCCCTGCAGGGACTCCATCCCAGGTGCCTGAGATCACAATCTGAGCCAAAGGCAGACGGTTAATGGACTGAGCCAGCCAGGCGCCCCATGACCTTCCTTTTCTATCTAATAGCTGGTCACCAGCTGCAGAAGTTTCCTTCCAGCAGGTGGCCCCCACCCGTCTGCCACGCACCAGTGTGTCTTGGGATTTGGCTGGCCTCTGCTTCGGTGGACTGTAACCTCCCCGCTGGGCCCTGACCTTTCACATGTGGTTTCGGAGGCGTCCCTCCTGGACCGCTGTCCCCACAGCACGAGGAGGCTTCTGTTGCCACATCTGTCCTACAGACCCCATCTCTGGAAGCACTTTGCCAGGGTAGTGTTAACCTCCCTCTGAGGTCCTTCCCTTCGGGGCGATCTTTAGTGAAGCTGTGCCACAGAGCAGTAAAAGCACAGAACCAGACAAAGAGTATCTCGCCTTTCATCTAACAGTGTGTGTTTTTTCCTGCTTCAGAATTCAAATGGGATTTACACTGGCTTCATTAAAGTCCAGATGGAGCTCTGCAGACCCCCTCAGACTTCTGGGAAACTCGCTCCCAGTAGCAATGGCTGTATGAACACGCTTCACATCAGCAGCATGAACACCGTCGGGGAAGTGATCGAGGCCCTGCTCAAGAAGTTTCTCGTGACCGAGAGCCCTGCCAAGTTTGCACTTTATAAGCGTTGTCATAGGGAAGACCAAGGTATGTTGCCAGGCCTCAGATGAAAATGATGTCTGCTTTTATGTCTTTGTCGTCATGAGCAGCAGGAACGCTGCTGGGTGTATGTATGTCAGAGCCCAGGGACAGGTTCTGGAAACTATGGTCATCCTGGCTTAACCCTTTTCCCGTTTCTTGGCTTTCCGTATTCCTGAGTTGGACACTTGTGGGTCTGAGGAGGTCCAAGGCATCCACATGTGATGGGCATTTGTGGAGGATTTTGTGATGTGTGCACCAGGGGATGGCTTTGAGTTTTTTTGTAAGCCTTAATTTTAATGCTCTTCAGGATGAAAAAGAATGCTTTTGTGCTTGAAGGTTTCATTAGCACATTCCACGTTTGATGTGCGTCTGAACAGGGGTGGTCTGGGGGACTTGCCTCCTTGGAGACTTGGAGGATGGGCAGGAGCGTGTGTTACTGTACATTGCAGACTTCCTGATGTGCGTGGCATCATCCCGGGTTCTTCTGTTTCCTGAGCTCGCCTCGCTAGCCATGACCCGGGGGCAGTGTGGCACCCAGCCCCCCAGAGGCACATACAGTGGATGAATAACATTCTTCTCTGGGGTCTGCCTGTCTGAACTTCATGCCCACATGCAGCGAGTAGGAAGAGGATAGTAAGGAACTGTGTGAAACTGAACATGGTAGTTCAGTGCTCGAGCAGAAACTGATCAGCAGTGGTGGATAACCATGATACTGGGAGTCACCAAGTGCTTGTTTGGAAATGCACAAGATGTGTGGGCAGTCCAGCTACTTAACCTCTGTTTTTTTGGGGTAGAGCCTCCAGCAGCAGTGGAGGAAAATAGACTAACTTGATGTGCTAGACATAGCCTTCAGTTGTTGGGGGAGGAAATGCAGCTAGTTGCTGAGCATGCATACTCCTCTTTGACCCCGAACCATGGGCTGGGCCCTGCAGAATACAAAGAGGACCTAGGCCAAGGTTCCTACCCTCAGGAGGCCCCAGACTTGAAGCATGGGCATTTACATTTCCAGGGAAATCAGTACCTGTGATGTGGCCGTATCCAGAAGTGCCAGGATACCATAGAGAGCTCAGATGGTGTATCCGGCGAGCTTCGTTGCCTGCCCGCTGGACTTGAGCCGCAGGGACTGACAGTAATAGCATCCTGTCGAAATACTATCCTCATGGCTGGCAAAATCTTTCATCACTGAGGCAGTGCTAGCACCCTGTGTGTGTCTCCGTGTGTGTCCCCATGGGTTGCAAGAGACACACACAGCTGTGCCTGCAGTCAGCAGAGCCCACGTTGTGACTGCTTGGTTTGTTTGCGGCTGCTCATAATTCTAAATGTATAGAGAGATTCACTCTGATTTTGTTTTCTTCGGATGGTATGTTTTTACTGTTTCTTAAAGGGGCTGCAGATGCTTTTTTAAGTGTATTATTTTGCTTTCTAAAAGGGGGAGCAGAATGAATTACAGGCCCATCCTTGGACTAACTAATACCCATTAAAGTTCATTCTTGAGGATTATTTCCTTTGTAATTGAGGCACAGTGCGTATTGTGCAGCTACAACGGAACTAGCGTAGATTTCATTCCACCGCCGGCTGTTCACAGCGATAGGAGAGGGAGGACGGTGACTGGGTGGCTGGGTCACGGGCTGCGTTGCCTTGATCTGGAGGAGGGGCTGGAAAGCCAGGAGGTTGGTCTGGGGAAAGACGAGATCCTTTGTAACGGGCTGCCTGTTTGCTTACGCAGTCTATGCCTGTAAGCTTTCGGACCGTGAGCATCCGCTCTACCTGCGTTTGGTGGCTGGGCCCAGAACAGACACGCTGAGTTTTGTTCTTCGTGAACATGAAATTGGAGAGGTAAGTGATTGTTCTTCCTTGCTTTACACTGTAGAGAGCAGCTGGCCCTGGTTTACTGCTTGAGTCTAGTGACTCTTATTTCCTCGGGGGTGGGGAGGGTTGGGCAGGAGGAGAGAGAATGAACACAGGCGGCATCTGTCTAGCTGCCTGTGTTTCTTGGGAGGGGGAGAGGAGTCTGGAGGACAGCTTTCTGTGTGTTTTTGAATTGTCAGAGATGAACCCAAGGTTAGTCTACAATAGAATTTTTTTTTTTTTGAACAATATCTATTCTCTTGGTTTATAATTTTCAGAGGTGGGAAAAGAGCAAGTAAGAAATCTTTTTCCCACCCAAAGATCCCATTTCACTTCTTCTACCTCCAAATTACCCTAATGCAGCTAAACTGTGAAAGTTGATACTCTCCATATGTTTGCTACAAACATCTCCAGGCTCATTTGTTTAAAGAGAAATAAAAGGAAATGGAATTAAAAAAAAAAAAAAAAAAAAGAAGGAAATGCAGGAGTTTCTCTACCACGAGAGACATAAAACTTTCTAGAATCTTTTTTTTCTTCTTGCCACAGTGATTTAGAAATTATGTTTGTATATGCATCATTTGCCATTTTGTCTCCAGGGGGGATTGAATTTAGGCCAGTTCAGTTGAAAAAAGCACTTTATATGGTCCAGCCACCAACTTTAAAAGGACACTTGAGTAAATTCCTGGGTCTTGGGGCAAGCCATGGGTCTCCCTGTCTTCTGCCTGAACAAGAAATGGCATGAATTGTCCATGTAGAACATTGTGTGATGCAGTGAGAATAGTTTCCAGGTTAAAAGTTAGGAAGCCAGGGGGTGCCTGGGTGGCTCAGTGGGTTAAAGCCTCAACCTTCAGCTCAGATCATGATCCCAGAGTCCTGGGATCTAGCCCTGAATCAGGCTCTCTGCTCGGTGGGGAGCCTGCTTTCTCCTCTCTCTCTGCCTGTTTCTCTGCCTGCTTGTGATCTCCGTCTGTCAAATAAATAAATAAAATCTTTAAAAAAAAAAAAAAAAGGTTAGGAAGCCAGGACTCTACTTCCTACCGGTCCTCTTGTGAGTTTAGGAGCATGACCTTAGGTGAATCTTCCAGTCTTTCAGCCCTCAGTTTTGAAATCTGTGAAGTGGGGCTAAAGACTTTTTTAAAGGTGGTTTTGAGTTACAAATTAAAAATACACATGTAAACATGCCTTGTAAATTATGTATCTGTAAGTTGGAGCTTGATCTGGGGAGTTTTAGGAAGATAATGCTGTTTTAATTAACAGAATATTCTATTGTAGAAAGTGTGTTCTCCTACTCCATGTTTCTTATTTTCTTTAATAACCAGGTCAGAATTCTCCAGAAAAGCCTTCTACCATTATGCCTACTTGGTGGTTTTATTCCATTTGTTCCATCTGTTCTACTTGTATTAGGTTATCTCTGGTCCTTTCCCTCCCCACACCTGGAAGTTCCCTGTCAGATATTGTTCCTGGGGCCCCTGGGTGACTTAGTCCCTTGAGCTTCCGACTCTCGATTTTGGCTCCTGTCATGGTTTCCTGGTAGTGAGATTGAGCCTGGGAGCATTGGATGGGCTCAGTGCTCCGCACTCAGCGAGAGTCTGCTTGGGATTCTCCCCCTCTGCCCCGTCCCCTGCTTGTGTGCATGTGCTCACGTGTTCTCTTTCTCTAATTAATAAATAAACCTTTAGGGGAAAAATTGTTCTGCTTAAGGCCATGATTCTGAGCCTAGGACCCACGGCCCCCTTTTGGAAGATGTTTTGTTTGGAAAACAAATGTAAAAAACCCCTTCCTGGTGATGCCAAGTATCTTTCTTGACCTTTACTCATGAATTAAAAATTTTTTCTTAAAGTGCCTGCTAGATGCTGGGTGCTGTTGGGGAAGCAACTCAGAGTCTCCAGGGTAAGCGGCAAAACCCAGATAGTGAGAAGCACAACAGCTGCAGTGTAGTAAAGAGTAGGTGAGGGAGGTGCTTAGCAAGTGATCCCCATAATTTTTAAATATTTTGTGATCAGGGCTACCATTGCTCAGTGAGAGCTTCTCATAGGTGTTGTTCTGGGTCAGAAGGAACAGAGGAAGGAAATCATGGAAGACTTCTTTGAGGAAGTGGTATTTAAGCTGAGACTTGAAGGTTGAGTAGGAGTTTGCCAGGCAGAGTGGAGAAAGTGAGTGAAGCTACTGAGGGTGATGTCATGAGTGGGACAGTGTGAGAGAGAGAGGGGAGCTAGAGGTGTCAGGGTTTTTCAGATTTAGCAGGAATGACCAGGGGAAGCCACCGGAGGATTCTAGCAGGGGAGGGACATACCTAGATTTGCATTTTATGAAGAGTATTCCTATTCAGCCTGGCTCCTGAGGGAACAGATGGGGGAACAGAAGAGTGGTGTAAGGAGGTTATGGGCGAGTTTGTCCCTGGGCTGGAGAAGAGGATGGTGAATGCAGAGGGGGGCAGCAGAGGTAGCAGAGATGAGCAGGCCAGTTGGAGAGCTGTGTAGGAGCTGGTAAGATTGTGGGAAGTGGAAGAATGTGGAGGTGATGGTGGTGACTGCAGGGAGAGGCTGAGGAGAGTGGTTTCTGATGCTGCTGGGGTCAGATAGAGAGGGGCCAGGTCAGCAGTGAAAATGTCTGGTGCGCTTGGGGCCCTGAGTGCTTTGGCCCCAGGGAGATCCGCTGTGGAGAGCTGTGGAGGCAGGCAGAGGTGCGAGTGGGCCCGGGTGTCCTTGAAGGGCCCGGGCGCTGGGGGAGGGAGGCTGGGGAGCGTCTCGCCCCACCAACCCCACCTGTGCTGGCCCACGATCTGACTTCAGCACCTGAGTTTCTCCTTCTTGTGTCCTTGCACAGTGGGAAGCCTTCAGCCTTCCAGAGCTACAGAATTTCTTGCGGATCTTGGACAAGGAGGAGGACGAGCAGCTGCAGATCCTGAAGCGGCGCTATGCGGCCTATCGCCAGCAGCTGGAGGCAGCCCTCAGCGAGGTGCGGACGCCCGGCTAGGCGCGCCCTCCCCTGCCTCCCGCGGCCGAGAGGCGCGGGACCTGCGTGCGCAGCCCCAGCCGGGGTCTCTCTCGCGGGGGGGACCGTCCTCGCGCCCTGTGACGCCGGGGCCTGCCCCCTCAGACCCCGGGCTCTAGTCCCCGCCGCCTTCCGGCCTCTGCCGGCGGGGCTGCTGCTGCCCGTCCGACGGCCCTGCGGGCTCACCTCTCGGCAAGCTGTGAATCTGTGGTCTCCTCTGGGGCCATCTAGACGGCTTGGAAGCACGACTCTGGGTTTTGTGTGGTTTATCTTTCTTCCGTACTTTGTTTTAGTTGATTATGTGATGGTGAAGTTGAGCTGAAGGACGTGCAGATGATTTTTTTTTAAAGCTTAATAAGGAATCTCTCTGAAGACTGCCCTGTATTGAAACTACCTGTCCGTTTTCTGTTTTCTGTCTTTAAATGTCAGAGGAAGCGATCCATGGGAATTCAGAGGCCCCGGCAGCCGGGAACTCGGAGGCATTGAAGGGTTTGGTTAGGAGTTGGACTGAGAAGGTGAAGAGCAAGTTTGGAAGAAGGCGCCAGCGGAAGTGGGGAGCTCTGCGGGAGCGTGGTTTGGGTGAGGGGTGGGTGGTCAGGGAGAAAGGTGTGTTTGGTTACAGACGGGAAAGCCTTGGGTTTTGAGATGTTAAGGCCATCGTGGTAGTGCTTGATGTGCTGGTGAGTAAGACGTGGGGACAGAGCCAAAGCAAGTAGGAGCTAGAGCAGAGGGAGGAGCTGGGAAGTGTGCAGCTGCCCAGAGAATGAGCGTCCAGCCAGGTGGACCTCGCAGGCCCACACAGGGGGGGTCCTGTGGCGGGTCGCCCTCTCTGGGCACCGGTCCTGGTGCTCTCTTCTGGGGCTGGGGCGCTTCTGCGGGTGGTGGGGTCATGACCGAGGGCTAGCTCTTGTTACCTTATGGTCCTGGTCTCCCACCCCAGCTGTTTTCTGAATGGAAAGGGAGTTTGGATACGGGGTGGCTGTTTTCCGGTTAGCTGCAAGATTTGTCAAGTAGAGAGCTCACTGCATACTTCTGTGACAATCACTCCCCTACTTTCCCTAGTTTCCCTTTTTCCTCCCCTTCCCCCTCTTCCTCCTCTACTTTTCCCTCTTCTCCCCACCTTCTCTCACAAATTGCAGTCTGTTCTTCTGTAAGGTAGATTAGGGATGTGGATTATACACCCAGTGCCATCAGATCCTCCTTCCAAAAGGAGTACTTGACTGAGGAGGAGGGTGGCCAGAAAGGGAGGACTCCCTCGCTGTTGCCCTGCCACACACGAGGGGTTCTTTCTGGAAATGCTCTAATGAAAGTGCGTGTTCTACCAACCAAAGAAAGGCGTGCACAATAGAAGCCTTCCTTAAAGCAGGTTAAATAACCTCGTTTTTTGCAGCAGTCTGAAAACAAGAAGAAAGCTGTGCTGTGTTCTAAAGGGGCCTTATAATCTGTTTTGTTTTTTGTTTTTTAGTCTAGATTTTGTTTATAAATTCCCAAGGAATTGTCAACACTTTGGTGACACCTAATGGATTCTTTTTGAAATTCCAAGGTGCTTCATTTCTTTGCCTCTTAAGTGAACTGTGCCTTTTAAAAATTGCATTTCTGTTCCCTTCTTGGTGGCACTTCCGACTTTGCAGAGAGCACCCGTCTTGTTGGAGGCAGGTGTCCGCGGTGGTCTGCTGTGCATACACGTTACTGAGACAATCCTATCTTCCTAAACTTTTTAAGGAGAGTTGGGGGGGGGGGAGTAGAACTAGCTATATAAAATATGTATGGGGCATATCTTGTTTAATTTTGCATGTGACTTTTTTTTAGTGCATCGATGAGGTTTTAGTGACATTGTCATCCAACACTTTACCTTTACTGTTCAGGGAATGCCTTCATGATTTTTTTACTGGTTTTACTGTTGAGACTGTGCCTTGGGTTTGAGTATACTGTTATCAACCACCTGGTCTTTGAATTGCCCACCCAGTAAGCGTATATTTTGTGAAGCATTTGTTTTTCAGATTAAGACACTGTTAGAACCTAAAGTAGTAGCTGATGGTTATCTGTGAATTTTTTCTTTCTTTCTTTTTTTTTTTTTTTACTTGAAGTAGATTGTCTAAAACAGGCATCCTCCTCTCTAGTATCCAGAACCTCGCTCATTGTCGTGTGCACTACAAGTTGCAATTTGGAAAACTTGCTGTATTGAAATTGTCAGTACATAGTTCTTGGAACACTGACGTTTTCTCCCAAACACTGGTTCCTGCAGCAGCATTTTTCATGCATAAAAGAAGAAAAGGCCACTAGGGCCAGAGTTTTTTAAAAATCACTGTACAAATTCTTATGTTAAATTAAACTAAGCTTTGCTGTAATACTGTTTTCTCTTCCAACATGTGATGGTACCAGAATGTTGTTAAAAATGAAGGGGGTAGTATTGCAGGGGAGCATTTTAAATCACAGAAGTAAAGTTATAATATTTATAATTTTGATGAGTTTATTTTAATAGGGAAGATTTTTCTTCCCTGCGGTTGTTTCTGGAATGGCAAATTGTTTCCATTATTAAAAGTCGAAGTTGTTAGCTGGTGTCCATGTGTTTTTATTTGCGATAATAATATGCCCGGTAAAAGGAGGTCGCAGGAGTGGGACGAGCTGCTTTTGCGGACCCATGAGGACATGTGTGGGAACGCAGGGACTTTTGAGTGGGAGACATTTGTTCTCTCAAGTGTTGCTTTTCCTTTGTCTTACTCTCTGGGGAAGGAAACCCTCGCTGAGTGTCTCTACCCGTACAACACATTCCGAAAACAATTGTTCTGATTGTGGAATATACATACGTTCAAAAGTGTATAAAGCATGTGAACAAAGAATTAATATAAAGTGGATGCCCTGTGGCCCCTTCCAAAAACAGGAGGGTCTCATTAGTTCCTTAGAAATCCTCTCCCTCCACCTTCCCTACCTGCCTTTAGTTCTCTTGTCCTTGAAACAGAACACTTTCAACGTTTAAAGTGTATTTTTTGGTCAGCATGACTGTCCCACACAGGATGGTGGGATGGGGAGTATTTTCGGGGGTCGGTATCTGTGAGTGGGTAAAAGGCTGTGTGCTCCTCTCCTTTGCCTGCTCTAGGCAAGCATTTTTACTGCTGCACTGCCCCCTAGAGGTGGTGGTGAAATCAGACCAGGGCTGCACCTGTTGGTGAGGGGAAACATTTCCAGAAAAATAGCATAGCTGTTTGAGAAGTGAAAATATTATGATAGAGGGGCACCTGGGTGGCTCAGTGGGTTAAGCCTCTGCCTTTGGCTCAGGTCATGATCTCAGGGTTCTGGGATTGAGCCCCGCATCGGGCTCTCTGCTCAGCGGGGAGCCTGCTTCCCCCTCTCTCTGCCTGCCTTTCTACCTACTTGTGATCTCTGTCAAATAAATAAACTCTTAAAAAAAATATATTATGATAGAAAATGATGGCTTTGTATAGATCTCTCTGATGAAATATCCAAAGGAATCTCGTTTGTTAGTTCAGCCTGGGTTACTACCCAAGGTGCACGGGGAGGTTTTTTGTTTGAATTTTTATCCCTTAAAGGGAGTTAGCTTCCTGCCCTAAGCTTTTTGTCAGAATTTATCACCAAACGATAACCTGTTTAGATTTTCTTATTTTGCAGAATCCTCAAGAATGGTATCTTGCATTTTGTGTTTGAAAGAATGGGGAGGGGCACCTGGGTGCTTCAGTAGGTTAAGCATCTGCCTTGGGTTCAGGTCATGATGTCAGGGTCCTGGGATCAAGTCCTGTGTGGGGCTCCCTGCTCAGCAGGGAGTCTGCTTCTCCCTCTTCTAATGCCTCTCCCGCTGCTTGTGTGCTCTCTCTCACCCATTCTCTCAAATAAGTAAAATCTTAAAAAAAAAAAAAAAAAAAAAAAGGCGGGGGGATGTCTCTGTACTGGCAAATTCACACGAAGTGTTCACAGTGTGCCAGGCCTTATTCTCCAAACCTTAGTACGTATTAACGCCTTTTCTCCCCTGTGAGGTAGGTATTGTCAACATCCCCATCTCACAGACGAGGCGGCGCACTGAGGTCCAGCAGCTTGCCCACCGCCACGCTGAGAGAGCGGCCGAGCCGGGGCCTGGCCCCGAGCAGCCCTGCCACTTCGCTCCCTCGGGAGCTCCGTCCAGTTTTCCAGTGCTCCCGCCAGCGGGAAGCCCGGGATGTTGCCCACACTGAGCGGTTTGTCAGAAAGCCAGCCTCTGGGTGCGGCGGGGCTGTGTGGAAGCGGAAGGGCAGCCGATGTCTGAGTGCTCTGTCATCCTTGTGTTCATTCAGCATCCCACTGAGGTGGTGGTGGGTTAGCACTAACTGCCCCCCGGTGTTTTCATTCCACGGGTTCTGTTGTGCGGGAGGCTCCCGGGGCAGCTAGCCAGGCCAGTGTTCCCGCTGCGGTTAGTACCATCGCTCCCGGCACCACCCGAAGAGCCGCCTCGGGGAATGCAGAGTTCCCGTTCGCAAAGGCTAGAGCTTTCCTCCCCCACCAAGGACGGGCCTCTGCAGAGGAACACGGGAAACCAAGTATGGTGTCTTGAAAGCGCTCCCTTGTGTGGTGCGTACAACCGCACAGTTAACCAGGTGTGCAGGAGAGCATTTTTGTACAAGAACTCGGGGAGAGAAGCGGGGGGCACGGGAGTGGGCAGCAGTAAAGAACTTTCCAGGGCAGTGCCATCTGCACGGTTGTGTTTTGGGTTTTTTTTTTGGGGGGGGTTGTTTGGCCCTTTTTGGTTTCATTTTGTTTTTCTGGCAGAACTTTCCCTCTAATCCTGCAAGGTGAGAATGGCAGGGAAGAGGACAGACCCTTTTGATCTTAAATAACAGTTTCCAGAGACCGCTGCGACGCACGTTTGGCTGAGGCGGGACTTGGCAGCAGCTCAGCCGCCAGAGGCCCCTCTCCGTCCCCTCTTGGAAGTGGGAATAACTGACATTCTTCCATGTTTACACACGAACAGCAGAACACCCAGGGCTCTTGGTATCCTTCCAAGGAAGCTGGGGTTTTGGCTTTGTTTTCGGAAGGGAGTTACTTTAAGTGGAATAGTTACTTTCAGCCTTTCTAAATGAGCCTCACCTTTAAGGCAGCTGGCTCTTCAGTGGCACAGATGGGGGGTGCCGGCAGCCTCCCCTTGTTTTTGCCACCCTTTGTTGGCAAGAGGGATTAACGAGATCCTGCTCAGTTCCTTTCTCTGAAGTGGGGTGCTGGGGGCTTTGCTCTATAGGGCTTTCCGAGAGGGCGGGGCTCAGGGAGGGCGGGGCTCAGAGAGGGTGGGGCTCAGAGAGGGCGGGGCTGGGGGACAGAGGGACAGAGAGAGAGAGTCTTAAGCAGACGTGCAGAGCGTGA